CCCCCCCCGCCACAAGCGAGTCCTTTGTTCAACCCAGGAATGGAGGGCCGTCTTCACAGGACTCTCCCTTGTTTGCTCAAGTCCTTGCAGCTACAAATATGTTTATTCTGAAAGTGTGCCAGGAGCAGGGATTAAGAGGTGTAAATGGGGATGGACTGGGACTGTTAATTTTTAGATCAATTCAGTCTACCGTCTCTCTCTCTCTCTCTCTCTCTCCATCCATCCTGGGTTCAGTTTAAATCCTAAAGAGCATAGCAACTGTTCTTCCCATTTTTAAGAAAGGAATACTGATGCTTAATTGCTTTAAAAAGGTTTTGTTCTAAGTTTGTGGCTTTGCTAAATCCTAGTGATAGAGAAAGCAAGCGACCATCTGGGGCTTCCCAGCGCACGAGCATCCGTAGCCTTTGCAGTCACCAGGCCGTGAGCTTCTGCTGGTTTCCTTCCCCTCCAAGTAGCTCCATTTGCTGCTAGGCTGTCAATTTAATTAGGCTGGACAACTGTGGGGTTTATTGCATTGCAGCACACTAGTATCGCGTGTTTTAAAAATGGACAAGGGAAAAATTGAAGCAATCAAAGATGAAGTAATAAACTTCTCAGCCAAGGCATCTGGTCATTAACCAGGAAAAACAGCCAAAGCTTCAAAGAGCTCTGAAGTCCTTCCCAACGGGAAGGAAGCAGCATCTCTGGGATCCGGCCACATGCGGCACTGAAACCCCTACCCCTCCATGAATTTATCCTTTTCAAACAGCCCAGGTTACTGGTCATCGCCACATCACGTGGCGGTGAGTTCCAGAGGCTAACTGCACGCCAGGGGAAGATCTGCTTCCTTTATCTGTCCTGAAACTCCCAGGAAAGCGTCTAGTGGGGAGTGGGCGCCTAGTTAAGGCAAAAGTGAGAAAGAATCATCGAACTGGGGGTCAGAGCAGGAAGCTCCGTATCACTAGGCTGCAGCAAAGCAACCAGAGAACCTGCCCTTTGTGGATTAAACAAAGAAGAGGCTGCCTTGACCAAGCAAGGTTTTGTGCGCTGGTCAAAAGTGCAGTTTCCTCACAGCTTCACTGAAGGGTTGCAACTTCTAGCTTCGTGTGAAGACATCCTTTCTCTCTGCACCCCACTAGTCGTGGGGACTCCACTCTCCTCCTCCCTCTTAAGAGCGAATTAACTGACCAACCCAGCGGTGAACCCCCAAGGCACCCATTCCTCTGTTCGGCAACTCTGTTTCTCTCACCCACCCACCGGCCAGAGGAACGAGACCAGGTCTTCCCTCGCCTGGATCCCGTGCTTTGCGGATCTTCTCTTTCAGCCTGTTGTCGATTGGTTGCAGACAGGAGGAAAGTGTGTGGTTTTACTCCAGGGGTGAGCTCCCTACAGCCTCCTTTGTGCCCCCTCCAGAACTGCGGCTGAAAAGTGGGGACAGACTCGCTCACGGTTTTCAGGCAAGAAACACGTTAGAGCAGCGACTCCAGGCCCGCGAGAGTTTCCATGGCCGATTCTGCCCGGGCAAAGCGGAAGGAACATCTGCTCCCCCTTTCCCCTTCCATGATGACACTCCAGCTTCCCCCAAATGTAAAGTGCAGTGGGACCCCCGCCCCACTTTAGAGAATAGCGTGGGCACATTCTGTGCTGGGTCCACCCTCCCATGCATTTCTCTCGGAAAAGAGAAGTCCCGATTCGGGCTGACTTGGAGAGCAGGCTGCCTGCC